TTAAGTCAAACCTTAAAGAGATTTGCAAAAAGAGGTAAAACAATACTATTCTTCTCATTAAGTTGTTCTGCTTTGAAGAAGTTATTTTTCATAAAAATATATTATGCTAACATATAAGAGTTTATTATAGCTACTTTAAATCAGTTAATTTTTTTAATCATCAGATTTAATTTCTAATACAATGAATACTGATAGATATTACCCACATGAACAAAAAATTTTGGGAGTCTTAAGTTCTTAACAGCACAAAAGGTTCCTGAGACCAAAATACAACCATATTCACCTACTTCTTTTGCCAGCAATTAGTTTAGGGTTGGGCTTGCAATAGTTATTCTGACCAAAGTTAAGGGGTGGTCCTCTGGGGGCTTCTGGGGGGTTTCTCTTTAAAAGAAAAAAAAAATCGCTTTGTGAAAAAGAATTTGCTTACAACTGGACACAGCTCTATTTGGAGCTGCTGCCTGAAGCTGCTACAACTCTCTTTAACCATAATGGCAGGCAACTAAAGGACAAAGCCAAAATGCTAAGAATTGCAGAAGGTGGGTCTCTGATTACATCACTGAGTCACTGAATTAACAATCCTGATACTGTCCTATCTCAGATTTCTTGTTTACAGGAAAATAAATATTCTTTGTTTTTGTTGTTATTAGGTGCCATCAAGTCATCTCCAACTTATAGCGACTCTGTGCACAGCAGAACAACACACTGCCTGGTCCCATGCCACCCTCACAATCCTTGTTATACCTGAGCCCATCAAAGCACCCACTGTGTCTATCTGTCTCCGTGAAGGCCTTCCTCTTCTTCATTGACCTTCCACTTTACCAAGCATGATATCCTTCTCCAGGGAATGGTCTCTTTTGACAACATGACCAAAGTAGGTAGACAAAGTCTGGCCATCCTTGCTTCCACGGAGCATTCCGGCTACACTTCTTTCAGGATAGATTTGTTAGTCCTTTTAGCAGACCATGATACTCTTAGCATTCTTCTCCAACACCACAACTCAAAAGCATCAACTCTTCTTTGGTCTTCCTGATTCATTGTCCAGCTCTCACATGCTTAAGAGGTGATTGAAAATACCATGGCTTGGGTTAGCTGCACCTTAGTCTTCAAGGAGACATCTTTGCTCCTCAGCACTTGAAAGAGGCCTTTGCAGCAGATTTGCCCAATTCAATACATCTTTTGATGTCTTGACTGCTGCTCATTGGCACTCAAGTAATAAGAAGTCTTTGACAACTTCAATCTTTTCTTCATCTATCGTGACGCTGCTTATTCGTCCAGTTGTGAGGATTTTTGTTCTCTTTATATTGAGGTGTAATCACTGTAGACTGTAGTCTTTAATCTTCATCAGTAAGTGCTCTAAGTCATCCTCACTTTCAATGAGCAAACTTGTGTCGTCTGCATATCTCGGGCTGTTAAGGAGCCTTCCTCTGATCTTGATGCTACATTCTTCTTCATATAATCCAGCTTCTTGGATTATTTGCTCAGCATACAGATTGAATAAGTATGGTGAAAGGATACAACCTTGACACACTGCCTTCTTGATTTTGAACCATGTAGTATCCCCTTGTTCTGTTTGAATGACAGTCTCCTGACCTAGGTACAAGTTCCTCATGAGACACTCAAGTGTTCCGGAATCCCCATTCTTCTCAATGTTATCCATAATTTGTTAGGATCCACACAATTGAATGCTTTTGCATAGTCAATACAACATAAGTAAACATATTTCTGGTATTCTTTGCTTTCAGCTAAGATCTATCTGACATCAGGAATGATATCCCTCATTCCGTGTCCTCTTCTGAATCCAGCTGCATTTCTGGAAGCTCTCTGTCAATAAATTGCTGTGACCATTGTTTAATTATCTTCAGTAAGATTTTACTTGCATGTGATATTAATAATGTTGTTCAATAATTTCCACAATCTGTGGGATCACCTTTCCTTGAAATGGGTACAAATATGGATCTCTTCCAGTCAGTTGGCCAGGTAGCTGTCTTCCAACTCTCTTGGCATAACCAAGTGAGTGCCTCTAGTGGAGCATTCATTCATTGAAACATCTCAATAGGTATTCTCTCAATTCCTGGAGTACCTTGTTCTTTGCCAATTCCTTCAGTATAGCTTCAACTTCTTCCTTCAACACCATTGGTTCTTGATCATATGCCACCTCCTGAAATGGATGTCATTGACCAATTCTTTTTGGTACAGTAACTTTGTATATTCCTTCCATCCTCTTTTGATGCTTCCTGCATCATTCAATATTTTTCCCATAGAGTCTTTCAATATTGCAAATCGAGGTTTAAATTTTTTTCTCAGTTCTTTCAATTTCCTCATCTTTGGCTTTGGTGGTTGGTACATAAGTATGAATAATAGTAGTAATGACTGGCCATCCTTGTAGGCGTATGGATATTATCCTATCACTGACAGTGTTGTATTTCAGGACAGATCTTCAAATAGTCTTTGTGACGATTAATGCCACACCATTCCTCTTCAATTTGTCTTTCCTGGCATAGTAGATCATATGGTTGTCTGATTCAAAATGACCAAAACCAGTCCATTTCACCTCACTAATGCCTAAGATATTGATCTTTATGTGTTCCATTTCATTTTTGACAACATCCAATTTTCCTAGATTCATACTTTGTATATTCCATGTTCTAATTATTAATAGATGTTTGCATCTATTTCTACTCATATTGAATCATGCCACATCAGCTAATGGAGGTCCCTAAAGCTTTACTCTATCCATATCATTAAGGTCTTCTCTACTCTGAGGAGTCAGCTCTTCCCCAGTCACATTTTGAGTGTCTTCTGACCTGATGGATTCATCATCTTCCAGCATTTTATCAGACAATGTTTCAGGGCTATTCATAAAGTTTTCCAGTAATAAATCAGACAGTGTTTCACTGCTATTCATAAGCTTTCATTCGCCAGTTCTTTGAGAGGTGGATGGCCTCTTCCTTCTTCCAAGTCTGTCTTAGCCAGGAAGCTCCGCTGAAACCTGTCCACCATGGGTAACCCTTCTGGCATTTTGCATTTTAACACACCATTAATTTGGTTTTCTGCTGCTTGTAGCAGAAAGCATTCTTACTGATTCAGTACTTTTTTTTTCCTTTTCCACTTTTTGCCAATCATGAAGGAATTAAGATAAAACTAATAGAATAAAGAATTGAAAATTAGTTGTGATGTTTGTGTTTTGTTCATTTATGAATCCCAGTTGCATTTATCTGCATGCTGTGAATACTGATGAAACATCATAGCTCATCAGCTCATACCTTTGCACTGTTGAAATCCTTTCTGCGATTGGATATTTACACTCTGCTCCAGTAAAATCTTGGGTCCATGATTATAGATAAACCATTGCCATTGAGTCAATCCTGATTCACAGCAACTCTGTATGGCAAAGCAGAACTACCCCATAGGGTTTCTAACACTGCGATCTTTATGGAAGCAGACTGCCACATCTTTCTCCCACAGAGAGGCTTGTTGTTGTTATGTGCCATTGAGTCGGCCCTGACTCATAGCGACCCCTTCTTGGGTTGCCAAGGCAGTATCACTATGGAAGTAGATTGCCCAACCTTCTGATCTTTAGGTTAGCAGGTCAGCGCTTTAATCACTGCACCATTGAGTTCCTTGGGATTATAGACAAATTAGCAGATCAACACTCCCGGAAAAGAACTGGAACATAGATGCTAATGAGAGCAAAGCAGTAGTACTACTCCTTACATGGATGGGGGACACACATATTTGAATGCCATTCAAGATGTAAAGAGACCTGGCTACCACTGCCAACCACTCTGAAAAGGATCAAAATTATAGATCGCAGACAGAGTGGGATAAAAACATGGAACAAAACTCAAAATCATTTTTAAAAAATTTACTGGTCTGACAGAGACTGGTGACTGGTGAAACCCCAAGATTATGACCCTTAGCCACCCTTTGGGCCTGGAAATGAACTCACTCCTATGGCTTAACTTTCGGCCAAACAACACAACTATAAAGGGAACAACACCAGGGAGGTACACACTCCTTAGAACAATCAACCATAAGAAATCAAAAGGGCAGCATTTATATGGAGACAAAGCTCAGAAGGCAGGAATGCATAGGAAAGAAAGATACAGGGAAACGGTAACCACAGAAAGGAAGTGGGAAGAGAGCTGTCACATTGTAGGGATTGGAATCAATGTCACAAAATAAAATGTACATGAATTATTGAACAGAATATGAATTGGCTCTGTGAACTTTCACCTAATCACAATTTAAAAAAAAAAAAGGTAAAGAGCAAAAAGACAGCTGCCAACTAGTCTAATATCTCCACTCTATGGATGGAGAAAATGAGACCAGAAAGCCCATGTCGCATGCCTACCTCACCCCTGGCAGAAAAAGTGCCTTCAGACAGAGCACATTAGTCATTTATCTTATTAGCACTGTAGGATCACAGGAATGAGTTTAATCAATGATAGACACTAGTAATTTAGAGAGACTAAATGTTATTATGTTTAAAAAAAAAAAAAAAAACTTCCCCTTGCATATCAATTTTCTTTCCAAACTGTAATTTAAAAGAGAGAAAGCAGAAAGAAGCATAGTGCATGGTACCTAATTGGAACTCAAAAAAATATCTGTTAAACTAAACTGACTTTATCTTAAAGTAGGATTTTCTTTAACTCAAATCAGTGCTTTCCTGGCTACAGTTAATGAGTACCCCTATAATTTAAAAAGGCAGTAATATTTAATGTGTATCTCATCTCTTTTAGGAAACTTTGGCTATAGATTGTGCCATTAAATCTAGTCTCTTCTCAAGAAGTATGATTCTGAGTTCATATAAACTTAAGTCTTTATACATTTTGTATTCATATTAATTTGAGATGAGAGTAAGGAGGGGAGAGACGGGAGTTAGGGATAAAGAAAGAGAATGAAAAGTGGCTGTAAGCCTCAAAATAAGAAAAATAAAGGATAGTATAAGTCTCTTAACTTCAGACACACACAGAGAGTTCAGGTTCTAGAGAGGATATTGGTCATGGGTCCTCTGCCTTTTGGCAAGAGAGTCTTCATCACTGATGCCAGCCATCAGGTACTTGAGGCCTGTAATCCAGGTGCGGGCCTCCTCAGGATTGGAGGTGATAAGGTCCAGGGACTCCATGTGGTTACCATGGTAGATGGTGAAGCAGCAGCTGGGGTCAAAGTTTCCCTCAGCTTGTCTGTGGAATATTTCAGACTGCCGACCCTCGGTGACTTTGTAAATGGAGTCAATAATTACTGTGAGAGAAGCAAGACATACAATTATATAGCAGGCAAAGATACCTATCTAGGTTAGGGAAAAAAAGCAAAATCATTTTAAATAACAAAAATAAACATTTTTGCAAAGTACAGTTTTAAGTTCAAATGTAAAGCACAAGCCCTACAGTTTCCTGCTAGGAACCAACTCCACATAGTACTTTACCTACCTGGGTAGTCTTGACAATGCCCACCCAGGCCTTGGTCCAGGCTGTGCTGTGATTTATGTTAGTAACAGAGATATGCCCATCAGGGTTAGCAGACTGGTAGAAAATGTGGTTAATAAATATGTCAAATCTATAGTCTACCTATTTATGCAGGGAAAACATTCAAAGACCTAGAGTAGACGTTGATGTTTCACAGTGTGTCTTTCAGGGCATGATTACTGATGATAACTGCAGCGTGTTTTAATATAAAGGTTGGTGATTACCACTAGTAAAGGGCTATCTTGTACTTAAAGGGAAACTCAATAAATGCAGATAGAGAGGAACACATAGGGGTGGAGATTAACAGAGAAATAAAGAAAATTTGTTAGATTCTTCCAGAGTTTAAAATTTATATAAAGCTTATTGATTATATTACTGGTATTCCATAAAACCAAGGTTCAGTGAGCACTCAATATCATCACTTGCCCTAAATGGCCTCATACTTAATGTCAAACATCTTTCTAAATATAGATTCTAAAGCTTAAAATATACTATTTGTTGTTGTTGTTGTTATTTGCCGTCGAGTCGGCCCCGACTCACAGCGACCCCTCCTTGGGTTTCCGAGGCAGTTATCACTACGGAAGTAGGATTGCCCAACCTTCCTTCCGAGGAGTGGCTGATGGGTTTGAACCGCCAGCCTCCTGGTTAGCAGTCAAGTGCCTTAGGCACTATGCTACCAGAGCTCCTAAAATATACTATAGGAAGCCATATTTGTGAAATTTCTTAGCAGGGAAAGGAAAATGCTACAAAGCCAAGAAAAAAAAAATCCTTTTCTTAATAAAATGAAAAATCTATAGAAACCTAGATTCAAATACTAACTTTGTCATTATGTGGGGCAAGTTGCACAACACCTCTGAGACTCAGAGTCAAGGTAGGTCAACCAGATTCTTACTTACTGGCCTGAGTTGAGGAATAAAGAGAGAAACAGCAATTCAATTCAACAGTAACTGAAAGAAGCCCAGAGTAGATGGGTCATGATAAAACCAAAATTATTGGAAACAGAAACTACATGTAAGCACTCTGAGGTACATGCCAAGAAGAGTCAATACTAATATCAACAATATGACTGCTAACCAGAAGGCTGGTGGTTCAAACCCACCAGCGACTCCTCGGAAGGAAGGTTAGGCAATCTACTTCGGTAGTGATACTGCGTTGGCAACCCAAGGAGGGGTCGCTATGAGTCGGGGCTGACTCGATGGCACATAACAACAACAATATTTATAGCTGGTACTTTGAAAAGTACTAGAAACATGAGAAGCACTATAAAAGTTCAATTCTCCCAACTCATTCAATTCTCTCAACCACTCTATATGGCAAGACCTGTTATTAGCCCCATTTTATAGTTGAAACTGAGGCACTGAGAAATTACATAGAGGGCACAAGTAGTAAGCAGCAAACCTAGGATTTGAATCCAAGCTATCTTCTGGTTCCTGAGGCAATAGCCTCAACCATTATGTATAAATAAAAGTGGACTCTCTTTGTTGAAATCTCATCTCTACCACTTACTATTTAGCCTGGGCAAGTTTTCAACTGTGCTAAGCCTCAATATCACCTGTAAAGATGAGGATCATACCTCATAAGGGTGTCTACTTTATTGAGTGGTTATTAGACTGTAATGAACTTAATCCAAGTATGTGAGCAAAAGTCACTTAGCAGAATGTCACATCATACCCATTGCTGTTGAGTTGATTCTGACTCTTAGCAACCCCATAAGACATAGTAGAACTGCCTTACAGGATTTTGTAGGCTGTAGTCTTCACACCCGCAGATCACCAGATCTTTCTCTTGTGGAGCTGCTTGGTAGATTTGAACCACTAACTTTTCAGTTATCAGCTGAGTGCTTAACCACTGTACCATTGGGGCTGCTTTAGCAGAATCCCATAGTAAATGCCTAATAAATCATCATCGTGACTGTCAAAGTGCTTTGGCTCAAAACCTAGCACTTGGTTAGCTTTCAGAAACTGTGGTTATTATTATTTGAGAAACATTTATTGTTCTGCAATTTTTCCTCTGCCCTTGACAAGACATTGTTGTTGGTAGCTGCCATTGAGTCAACTAATGGCAACCCCATGTGTGCAGAGTAGAACTGCTCCACAGAGTTTTCAAGGCCATGATCTTTAGAAAGCAGATCATCAGGACTGTCTTCTGAGATGCCTCTGGAAGGTTTGAACCTCCCACATTTCAGCTAGTAATCAAGTGCTTAACCATTAAGTTATTAACTGACCAGTGGCAAAACTCTAATGCAGTCATCAGAAAAGGCAGACTGTAGTCTAAGCAGAGTTGTTATAACAGCCTTGAAATAAATCCCTTCAAGATGCTAACTCACATGGCTTGACACCTTCCCTAGTAACAAGTTGGTTCTACAATGAATGACATCAACCTTTTAAAACCAATCACTTAGGGTATGGTATGTTGGAGGACATAAATTTTAAGGAATTAGCTATTTAATTATGGCTGTAAAAGAAATGTGCATGAAATGATAGAAAAATAAAAGGGGAAAAAAAATTGTGGCAAATGAGTCACATAGCTAAAAGTGATTGGTGCCAGAGATAATGCAATGATGTCAAAGGTAGCAAAGGGCTTGGAGAGGTAGAGAAGAACAAGGAGGCGACCCAGGGAAAAAAGTATAAAGACACAGAAACATAAAGCCTACTCTAGGATGCTAAACAGTCCATTTATACTGGACTGGAAAGCTCAAAAAGGAGAATAACAGATGATAAAGCTGGAAAGGTAGGTAGAAGTCAGATTACAAAATGGCAGAATAGAGATCAGAGAGCTCTGGTGGCCCAGTGGATAAGGCATTTGGCTGTTAACCAGAAGATCAGCAGTTCAAACCCACCAGGTGCTCCATGGGAAGAAGATGAGGCTAACTACTTCCATAAAGATTTACAGTCTTCGAAACTCTATGGGGGTGGCTATGAGTTGGAACTGATTTGATGGCAGTGCATTTTGGAGACCAGAGATTAGTATTGCTTAGTTATAGAAACATTGATAATTTTGGTCAGAGAAGCATAGGCAAAGAGAGTTACTTTAGATAGCCTAAAACGTTTTTTGTTTGTTCGCTTGCTTACTTGCTTTTAACCATGATTCAGAAGTGTTTCATACTTTATTGATTATCCATATACCATCTATTTTTCCCTTTAGGACAGAACCTCAATTTTTTTCCTTGTATCAATCTATTCCTCCTGTGGCTCATAGTAAATGAGTCTATACCCAGTCTCAGGACAAGTTTTGACAGGTCTAAGCCTGTCATGGTAGCCCTATTCATATTTCTTCTAATTGATTTAGGTGTGACAGTGCAAGTAATTCTAAACAAGGAGACAAGAGGCAGTCTCTTTGAGGAAATGATGGAAGGCTCTGGAAGAGAATTCTTCTCCCAAAAGAGATGGTCCTTTGATCTCACCTCACTGTCATATTGGTCTGTGAGGCCCAGAATAGCTGAAGCCATGTTGCTACTGGCTTGATTACCATGTCAACACACAGGAAGCAGAGCCAAGAGAACTACAGGGAAATAGAATTAGAACCCCAGTGATCCACACTTGGGGCCTGCTTATCTCTGAGTTTCTTGTAATGTGAAGTAATGAATCTGCTTATCATGTAAACCTTCATTTAGTCTAGGTCTTCTATTACTTGAAGAAGATAGAATCTTAACTGATAAACAAGGTAGAAGAAACCAGCATGATGGAGACTGATTAGAAGACTTCATAATAGGACACCAAAAAGGTGAAGAGACCCTGGATTAAGGAAGCTACTGAAAAAACAGGAAGAGACAAATTAGAGATTGCTAACCAAAAGGCTGGTGGTTCAAACCCACAAGCCACTCCTCAGAAAGAAGACTGGGCAAACTACTTCCGTAGAGATAGTGCCTCAGAAACCCAAGGAAGAGTTGCTATGAGTTGGATCAACTCAATAGTAGTTAGTTCAGGTTTTTTTTTTTTTGTTTGTTTGTTTGTTTTTTTTAAAGATGTAGCAAGAACACAATGAAATGTCAAGTATAGAAGGTGTAAGGGAGAAAAGCTTTAACTAGGAGTCAAATCAAAACTATTTTACTGGGTATCACTAAAATTTAAATTAAAAAAATCCATTAATCAGTTAACTGTGCTCAAGATGTGGCAATACACTTTAAAGTCTGTGGGATTTTTATGAAGTGCTTCACATTTTATTGTTGTTGTTGTTGTTATGTGCCGTCGAGTCGGCCCCGACTCATAGCGACCCCTCCTTGGGTTTCCAAGGCAGTATCACTACAGAAGTAGGATTGCCCAACCTTCCTCCCGAGGAGTGGCTGGTGGGTTTGAACCGCCAGCCGTCTGGTTAGCAGGCAAGTGTCTTAGCCACTATGCTACCAGAGCTCCATCTATAAAACATCTTATCCCAACTAAAGTATATCATGTCTCCAACACAGGGGAGATGTTAGCATTCGAAGTGTAGATAGATAAGAAAATTGTCATGGATTGAAATTCCCCAAAATGTTAAAAAAGCAACACCACTTAACCTGTCTCTCAATATCTATTACCCATTGACTCCAAAACTTCCAAAAACATAGGAGATCTGAAGTTTCCACAGATCTCACCCAATATAACCCTTGTTAAGTCAAACAAAGAATTAATATGTTGGTTTTACTTTTTGCCTTCTCACTCTTCCTAGAGGGTCGCCATCGGAGACGAGTGCGGTGCTCATCCAGGTAAAAGAGGCGAACAAGTCCTTTGGTCCCACGCTTCAGTTTGATCATCTGTGTCCCAGACTGCATTACACTCATGCATCTTTCAACTGTAAAAGAGATTTGAATACACTCAGTCCTTTACCATGCATGATCACCAGTGTCAGAACCTCACTGTCACATAAAACCTCTGTTCAGTTTACTACCCCTTTCTCCACCAAAGACTCCAAGGACCAGAAGATAAACTTGGTAGAGGTGATCTGGAAAGAGAGTTGTTAAGGAATTGAATCATCATATTTATATCAGTAAAAAACTTTGTTGACTGTAAAATTGTTTTTCTAAGTAAACAGTATATCATTGCTGCACAGGATTGTCTTTTGTTTTAGCTGGCACCATATTGTTTTCTGGTGACACTGATGATCATTTGATACTTGGATTTATATTCCTAAAGCAGTTTCTCAGACATCATGTTAAATCTTCTGAGATTTTAAATAACCCATATAAAATCTAATCATAATGCTTTAAAATGAATACAGATTAAGATTGGCAAAATGTTGACAATCATTGAAGCTGGATAACAACTAGATTTAGATCATGTTATTATGTTTTACATATGTTTGAAAATAGTTTAAAATAAACATCATTTTTAAGATCAGAAAAAATCAAGTTTTCAAAACTGAACATAAAACATTTATTGATGAATTAAACTGCTAGAATTTCCACATAGAGTAATAACTCGGCAAGAATAAACTCAGGAATATTCAAATCTTTTATTGTCCAAGTTAAAGCATCATTTAAATCTGCTTTGCTTAAAAGTGAATTTTGCTGGAAATAGGTGTCTGTTGGCTTTGCCTATTTCCCTTTCTTTGGTCACAGCACCTCACTTTTCCTTTGGAACTGCTCCTCTCTCACTTCATGTGCCCTTGGTGAACTGTCAATCACCCCTAAGGAATGGGCACCTGATTTAAATTTAGAGTAAATCTGACTCCTTGTCAAAGAACATAAATCTTGACTAACTGGAAACAAAACAGAAAATACCAACTCATTGCCACTGAGTCAATTCCAAGTCATAGAGACCCTATAGTAAAGAGTACAACTGCCCCTTAGGATTTTTAAGCCTGTAAATCTTTATGGAAGCAGACTGCCACATCTTTCTCCAGCAGAGTAGTAGGTGGGTTCAAGCCACCAACCTTCTGGTTAGCAGGAGAGTACTTAACCACTGCACCACTGTTGTCATGTGCCGTCGAGTTGGACCCGACTCATAGAGACCCTTCCTTGGGTTTGCAAGGTGGTATCACTATGGAAATAGATTGCCCAACCTTCCTTCCAAGGAGTGGCTGATGGGTTTGAAGCGCCAGCCTTCTGGTTAGCAGTCAAGTGCCTTAGGCACTATGCCCACTACGGCCCCACAAATGGAAACAGCTGAGCCATTTCAAAGTTGAGACAAAAGACTTCTGGTTTACTCCCAAAGAGGCTACAGTTATTATTATTCCTGAGGCTGACAAATAACTCAGTTCTCCCCTTGATTCTATGAGTTATGCAATATCTTCCCAAATACTCTTTTTTCATTCTCTGTCAGAAACTGTTTTTGTTTCACAAAGATCTCTGACTGACACACTTCCATAACCATGTATCCAGGGCACTTGAACCATCTGACTCTGAGTTCCTACCTGATCAAGCAGGACACGGGTAGAGAGAAACAATGCATAAAACAATCAGAAATAAATTTCAGCAACCACAGACTCTTACTCTTTTGGCTGAATATCTTGTCTTTACCATGTAAAGGCATTTTCATGCAAAACCTTAATGTTGTCTGAACAGAGTATTCATTAAAAGCAACTTCAGCATAACCAACTTGGGCTGTTTACTCCATAAAAGAGTTCCCCCATCAAGGAAATTAAGGAAGATCTGCATGGGATTAAGTACAGTTTCAGGATGTGATGCTGAAGGGAAGGTAAAGCATAAGGGAAGGTAAAGATAAATCAAATATCCAAATAATAAAATATACATATATATATATATATATATATATATATATATATATATATATAGTTTAAGAAAACAAACACATAAACTTGAAATGTTGACTTTGAAGCACAGAACAAAATTTGCTATTTGGTTTCACACACACTAATCCATCTACCCACTAATGAGTCCCATTCATTTAGGCAATGAAAGCCATGACTTTGAATTCTTGACAGCCATGTGATTCACTGCACACTAGTAATGAGAACAGACAAGAGAGCATCAGTGCATCAAGGCAAAACCATCACTCACAATACTTCTAAACCCAAAATCAAATCCATGGCTGTCAAGTCGATTCCAACCTATAGCAACCTTATAGGACAGCATAGAACCACTCCAAAGGATTTCTAAGGCTGTATATCTTTATGGAGTAGTTGGTGAGTTCAAAGTGCTGACCTTTCAATTAGCAGCCAAGTACTTAACCACTTTACCAATAGAGCTCCTCTAATAAATATACTACAAGTTAAAAAAAAAAAAAAAATTGACCATTGGCAAGGGGTCACATCAATAAGCAAGCAAATGTTTACAAAAGCAAATATTCCTCATTCCAGACATAGGACCCTGTGATGAGGGTATAGCAGAACAAGGACAATTTATCTTTGACCTTGAAGAGTTTAAATTTTAAGGGGGAAAAAAAAGAGAATTTCAGTCTAGGGCAGAATCCCAGATCTGGTCATACAGTTAGGACCTTGTGCAAGTTCCTTAACCTCTCTAAACCTCTGTTTACTTACCTATAAAATGAGGTAATGTCATTTAACTCTTGAATTACTCTGAGGAATAATGAGTTGATTCACATGAAGTACTGAAAACAGTACTTTTTCATATGTATAGCACTAGCATATCATAAATACTATACCAAAAGGTCAAATCCATTGTCACTGAGCAAATGCCAGATCACCAGAATCCGATAAAACAGAGTAAACTCCAGCACTGGTGGGTTCAAACTGTCAACCTCTGTTTAGCAGCTGACTGCTTAACCACTGCACCATCTGGCCTCCTTGTAAACACTACAAATGGTAGCTAGTATTATAATTTTATTATTATTGAAATCTTAAAAAAAATTACAAAGACAAATATTAGGAACTCTATAAAGAAAAAAGAAGACAGTGGGCTGGAATGGAGAGAAGTATATTGATAAAATAAGAACACATGGGGACTTGGGGACAAGTAGGATCAGAGGTACGATCAGAGGGTAAGGGGAAGATTAGCCTCAGTCTTTGGGAGGGTGGCTTACAATGGAACTGACAGGGTCAATGATTCCAAAGGCAGGGAAAGACTAGTCTCTGGAGGTTTGCAGAAGCTAGGGTATCAAGATTTTATTCCATTGGCAATGATGGACCTATCAGATATTTTTTGAGCAGAGGAGTGGCTGAATAGAAGATATAATTCAAGAAGATATCTCTTTAGAGAAAGATAAAACTGTTTAAACCATAGTAGAAAACAAAATTACCTGCCCCTCCCTCAAAAAAAAGGGCAAGGACTGACAATTTCTGACAGAGTCCTCCAATTTGTTTATACTGACCCTTATTTACCTTGCCTTTCACCGCTTTTCTCTGAAATGGAACTGGTATGGCCATATCTCAATTTTTTTTTTTTTAATTGTGATTTGGTTGAAGATTTACAGAGCAAATTCACTTTCCATACAGCAGTTCACATATACTTTGTCTCATGTCATTAACCACAGTTTACCACAATGCAACAGCTTCCCTCCCACTTCCTCCCCATAGTTACCACTTCCCAGTGTCCATCCCTCCATACTCTCTTGCCCCCTGAGCTGTCTCCCTGTAC